CTCTTTAACAGTGGTGTAACTATCCAGATTATGAGAGTCTCAGGTAAAAACAGTAAAGACTCTTAAGTATTTATGAGAGTCTGTGGTGATAATATCTGTTCCTAGGCCAGGAGATTGGTTCTCCCAGGCTGGAAGTCTCAGAAATGAAAGTCCAAAGTACCAAGAGAAAAAACCAGGTCTGAAATTCACAGCAAGGAAGGTATCAAAAATCCAACTCCTTTCTCCCCTCTTGCTGCTGTGGCCTCTCAGCCATCTTCCAATGAACCCCTTTGTTCTTTTTAGGGAGTCTAGCCAATCTCCAGCAGCAAAGAGGCCAGAGGCTTTATAAATGGTGTACTTGTAAGTTGGGGCTGTCTTTCAGAAATTTACCACTTTACTTGTTGAATGAACCAAGATTTGTGTTTCCATAGAGTATTGTCACTGCTGGAGGAATTTTGTCAACTACCCACCTGGGGAAGAAGCTCACTGGCCAAGATACTCATCTCTGTGGATGATGCTGTACGCTCTGGAACTCCACTGCATAATTCTTGTAAGTTACTTTAAAGGACAAAGATTCTGATGCAAAAGGAAGCATCCTTCTGCAAATGTCTTTCTAGAAAATTTAGACACATATTCTCCTCACTATCTCTTTGCCATTTATGTTGAGATTAAGTTGTTTCACTAGTTGACTCATCTTAAGAAAATGTGAGGGCTGAGCCCGTGGCATACTCGGGAGAGTGCAGTGCTGGGAGCGCAGCAGCGCTCCCACCGCGGGTTCGAGCAGTGCTGGGAGCGCAGCAGTGCTCCCACCGCGGGTTCGGATCCTATATAGGGATGACCGGTGCGCTCACAGCACTCACTGGCTGAGCACGGTGCCGCCAGTCTCAAAAAGGACAAAAAAAAAAAAAAAGAAAGAAAGAAAATGTGAGAACAAGACAACCTCTTTGCGGGAAGTAAGTGGGAGAAGGGAGTGGATAGACTGGTCTAAGACATATGTAGGCCCCTTATTGATTCTGTTTTGCGATCATTGTTATTGTTGCTATGACAACACATACTGGCTCTACAGTATTTCAAACAGTCTCCTTTCCCATATTGGTGTATGTCATCCTATTGAAGAAATGTAGGTGTCCCATTTGGACACCTTGAAAGTAGTTCAATAGTCTTTCAATTGACATTTTTAGATGTTCACAGTAATAATAGTATTAATAAAATATTTATCCTAAAGACTAAATATAATCCTTTTTTATTCGAGTCTTCTATCCTTTTTAAAGATTTCAAGAAGATGTCAAAAGCAGCTTACATTTTTTCAGACTTGCTCTTCAAAATTGCCATTACCAAACAATACCGCCCAACATCCTTTTATCTACAGGGTTAATACAACCTTCTGTGACCTGGAGATGAATACAATGATTTCTTGTAGGTACTGTTTCAAGAACAAGCAATGGTGACCTACTAGAGTAAGTGCAATTAAGAATCCAGAAATTTTCACAAACAGCGCATCATGGATTATATTATCTCCGACCATATTCCAAATTACTTCCCAAACTTTGTGGCTTAAAACAATAAATATTCATTATCTCTCACAGTTTCTGTGGGTCAGGAATTCAGGAGCAGCTTATCTGTGTTTCTGACTCAGAGTCTTCCATGAGGTTGCAGTCAAGGTGTCATCAGGCTGCAGTCATTTGAAGGCTTGACTGAGGCTAGAGAATGTACTTCCCAGGTGGCACACTCATGTGGCCAGCAAGTTGGTGCCAGTGGTTGGTAAAAGGTCTCAGTGTCTTGCCACGTAGACCTCTCCACAGGGCTGCTTAAATGTCCTCATGACATAGCAACTGGCTTCCTACAGAGCATGTGGTCTAAGAGAGACCAAGGTAAAAATTGCCGTGTCTTTAATGACTTCGTCTTGGAATCATACCCTGTTTTTTCTGCAGTCTTCTGTTGGTCACATGGATCAGCCATGGTTCAGTGTGTGAGGAGACTGCAGACAAGGACTTGAATCTCAGGAAGTGGGAATCACTGGAAGCCATCTGGGGTTTACCCTGTAGAGATTTTCTGTGTTTTCAGGACAAATAATTTCATAGAGCCAATTTCTAAGACACAACTAGGGAGAAACTCCCTGTACTGACTTTCTCTGTGTTTTCAGGACAAATAATTTCATAGAGCCAATTTCTAAGACACAACTAGGGAGAAACAAAGGACAAAGTAGCATCTATTTTTATTTGTTTCTGAATCAGAAAATCATGAGAGTTATTCATCAGGATTTATAGGATGATTTATTGTTGTAATAACAACCCCAAATTTGAGTAGCTTAACACGAGAAAGATTTCTTTCTTGCTCTCATAGCAGTCTAATTTAAGTTTGGTGGGAATATCAGAACTTGGAGTTGTCTGCTGAATTCTCTACATTCAGCAAGCACAGGGTTGGGGGTAGAAAGCATTAAAGTAGTGTGAAAGAATGTTTTTAGGGTCAAGAACTGGCAAACATCACTTCTGCCCCCATTCCACTAACCAAACATCAGTCATGTGGCCCCATCTAACGGTAAGGGGGGCTGAGACACGTAGTCCATCTGTATGCCTAGAGAGAAATGAAAATAGAGATTGAAGAACACATAGAGTGCCTGCCATAATGAGGTGTCGCCAGAATCAAAATGGTGTTACTCATGTCAAACCCTAACAAAAATAAATAAATAAAGCCAGGAGGTGAAGAAGGAAGGGCTCTCTCACACACATGCCTGTGATAAGAACTATTACAAAGACTCTCTCAAGGGCTCTTGAACACATTATGCCTGTAACAAAAACTTTTGCCGAGGACTTTTCAAATCACACCTGGCTACATGAGTAACAAAGACAGCTAGCTCAGTGTACAAGAATGCTTGCCTGACATACTGTCTTCACTAATGAACTGACATCAACTCCTGTGATAAGACCCTGTAACCAGTACTCTCTTTGCTTCAAAACCATTTATGTGCACTTCTCCCTTTTGCCTTGAAAAACATCCCTTTGTCTCATTCTCTTTAGACATGCCTATGGTCCCTATAGCCTGCATATCCCAATTTGCAAATCCCCTGCACACTCCCAAATAAATCCCTACCTTTAAAAATATCTCTTTGTTTGTTACTTAGGATGATAGAAAACTAGGAAACCAAGTTGTTACATGACTTGGCCAAGGTCAGATAGAAAATACCATGGCAGAAATGGGACTAAAAGTCAATGTGCCTTTCTCCCCCCTGAGGCATTCAAGATGTGCCAGGAACCAAAATGTCACCAACTTTCGTGATGGAGACACATTAGCTCAGTCATTTGCCTGTCTTGCCCTTCCTGGGTTGGTATGAAGATAAAATGGTTTCTTTCTGGGGCAAAGAAAGGGGCTGAGAACTTATTGACTGTCCATATGAAGATTATCTATGCATATTTTAACTGCTATAAAAGATACTATTGTTCTTTAAAAAAAAAAAAGATTTATATTAGAAAAAAACTTTCCAGCCAGCACATGGCTCACTCGGGAGAGTGTGGTGCTGATAACACCAAGGCCATGGGTTCAGATCCCTATNGCCAAGGTCAGATAGAAAATAACATGGCAGAAATGGGACTAAAAGTCAATGTGCCTTTCTCACCCCTGAGGCATTCAAGATGTGCCAGGAACCAAAATGTCACCAACTTTCATGATGGAGACAGATTAGCTCAGTCATTTGCCTGTCTTGCCCTTCCTGGGTTGGTATAAAGATAAAGTGGTTTCTTTCTGGGGCAAAGAAAGGGGCTGAGAACTTATTGACTGTCCATATGAAGATTATCTATGCATATTTTAACTGCTATAAAAGATACTATTGTTCTTAAAAAAAAGATTTATATTAGAAAAAAACTCTCAAAGAGACAGTTTTTCCCATGCACTGATATATTTCCTTCTACACAAGAACAATGTGAACCATTATTTTTTGAAATTCTCATGTGTTTCGTTTTTGAGGAAGCTGAGAGATAAGTTTTATATGTATCTGTAGCTTTGCCTTTTTAAAAAATAAATTTATTTTTTAATTGACATGTATTATTTTACATATTTATGGGATGCAGAGTTATATTTCAATACATGTATACAATTGTCTTGATTAAATCAGAGTCATTAGCATATCCATCATTTCAAATATTTATCATTTTTTAGTGATAAGAGCATTTGAGCTCTTCTCTTCCAGCCATTTGAAAACGTATAGTAAGTTATTGCTTTGTTTTGTTTTTTGTTTTCTGGTTAAAGACATCTTTAATATATTGATTCATTAACATTGAACTCAGGGGCAACAACACTGTGAGTATAATGACGCTGGAAGGAATCTTATCTGTTACGTGTATTTTTTCCATAAGGCACATCGCAGCCTTCTTCTGCCTTTGAACACTAGACAGCACTTCAGCACTATGCTCAGAGGCTATTTTAAACAGTAAAATCACGAACAAAAATCACAAAAATGCAGAAAATGTGGCACTAAATACGCCACAAAAGGTGCATTTGTTTATAATATGAGAGATGAAACAAGAAGGCAGTGTCACCCTCTTCAACGTCAGCCGGGAATGTGCATGACAGGCCACACAATTGTTTGCTGCTCTGCAAATGATCATATAGTCCCAGTATTGATCTGGGAGTTACAAATAAATTTTAGTGAATAGATGAATATGCAAATATGGAATGCACAGATAATGAGGACTAATTGTATTTGTTTAATGACTAGAAGTATAAACAAGAAACAAATGGTTACCTATGGGCAAGAAAGTGGAGGGAACAGGGATATAAAATGCTAATACCATTGATTCCTGCCTTGGACCCTGGGTGCTCCTTGCCTGCTTCTGGGTGGTCAATTATTTTTAATTATAGAACTCGAGCACTACTGTGGGCCACTATAACCTATTTTTCCTGTCTAGCTGTATTTGTTACATTTCTTCCTATTCCTCCTCCACTTCCCAACCTCTACTAACTGCAATTCTACTCTCTATGTTTATGATCTCAAATCTTTAGCTCCCATGTATGAGTGAGAGTATGTGGTATTTATCTTCCACTCCTGACTTATTTCACTTAACATAATGTCTTCCGGGCTCATCCATGTTGATGCAAGTGACAGGATTTTATTCTTTTTTATGGCTGAGTAGTATTGTATTGTGTGTATATACCACATTTTCTTTATCCATTCATCTGTTGATGGACACCTAGGTTGATTCCATGTCTTGGCTGTTGTGAACAGTGCTGCAGTAAACATGGGGGTGCAGATATCTCTTCGGTATGATAATGTCCTCTCCTTTGGATGAAAATCCAGCACTGCAATTGCTGGCTTATATGGTAGTTCTACTTTTAGTTTTTTAAGGAACCTCCATACTTTTTTCCATAATGGCTGTACTAATTTATATTCCTACCAACTGTGTATAATAGTTCCCTTTTCTTCAAATCCTCACCAGCATTCATTGTTTTATGTCATTTTCATAATAGTTGTTCTCACTTGGATTGATATTTTCTTATGGTTTTAATTCATGTTTCTTTGATGATTAGTGATGCTGAGCATTTTTTCATATACCAGTTGACTATTTGTTTGTCTACTTTTGAGAAACATCTACTCAGGTCATTTGCCCATTTTTAAATTGAATTATTATTATTATTGTTATTTTGCTATTGAGCTGTTTAAATTCCTTGTATATTCTGGATATTAATCCCTTAATGGATGAATAGTTTACAAATATTTTCTCCCATTCTG